GTTAGAACAACCAATTGAGTTCATAAAAGTTATATTTATGGGCAAGAGTTGTCAGTAGAATATTTTTGAGCATTATAGAATTATTTTAGAGTTGCAGGAATTGTTGTAGAGTTGTTTAGATTTTCTTGGGAACTTTGTTGAGTTATAATTATGTATTGTTATAACTTTTCACGAGTTAAGAGCATAGAATAAATTAATAAAAAATACTCTATTACGATATTTTGAACTCATAAGAATATTATTTTCGATTCTCTTGTATTTTCAGCACTATTGGATATCGTTGAGTAATGTTAGGGGCTGTTTGGCGTGACTTAATTGATTAAAAATGATTTTTAATTGATTTTATTAATTATATTGAGTGGAATTATTATATGTACTGGAGTTGTGTTGTTATGCGGAGTATTGTGTGAGTTGTTGTGGTAATCTAGGAGAGAGGATTACGCAAGTTTGTCAATGCATGTATGTTAGGATCAGAAGAGGGGTCTTAACGCATTGGATTTTGTTAACATGTTCATACATTGATGTTGAGTTGTGTCAAAAGGCATGTTCGCTAGTTCAGAAGAGGGGATTTATGGCTTGTCCCAAACTCAGAAAAGGGGGCTTGGAGCTTGCAAGAGGGGGCTCATGGGTTCAGAATAGGGGGTCCGATTCTAGAGAGAATCAAATGTTGAGTTGGTACCACATGCATATGCATAAAGTTGCATATATGAGTTGCATTGCATAACGAGTCATATGTGCATTTGTTGAAATATATTTGTTGAGTTATGATTAATTTGGTGAATTAAATGTGTGAATGTAATTGATATACTGTGATTGAGATTGTGTAGAATATGTTATTGATATTCTACCTTGCAGTATATGCCTGTTATTATTAATTGTGATTTCTCACTCCTTCTGTTTGAATGTTGCATTTACATAGGTATCATGCAGATACTCAAGAGTAGAGACACTGTTGTGAGTGGAAACTAGCTCTTGGAGCTATTTCCTTTAGTTTTGTTGGTTTAGTTTTGGTCATGCTCTGATATGTAACATTGTGGGGGGGGGGGGATTTCTTTGTTTTATGTTGAGGTTTTTCTGAGAGACAATGTATGCTCTCATGTGTTTATCTTTTGGTGTAATAAGCATTTGGATAAGACTTACGAGTCGTTGCTTTTAATTATAATATAAAGTTTTATTATGGGATTTAAATTGGTCTGTGTTAATTATGATTCTGCTGCCATGATATTAGATGAATTGGATGTCATGTAAACATCCCAAGTACAAATCAAATGAATTGGTGTCGTGTAAACATCCTAAGTGCAATTTTATGCATTGAAATATTGTGTTGCATGTTTATTTAAATTAAGTGTTACATGATCAACAAATGTGTGTGTTTCGAGAGGTATAACATCCTATGTGAAAATATTAGGAAAAATATATAATTTAATTATAATTATGCGGATAGGAAAAACACTAGTGGTACTCTTCACTTGATTGGAAACTGTTTGGTATCTTGGCACAATAACAAGCAGAATAACATTGCTCTTTCTACCATCAAGGCTGAATACTTAACTACTGGTAGTTGTTGTGCACAAGTTCTATGGCTGAAGCAATAATTGCTAGATTATGATTTAATATTTGGTTGCATTCCGATTAAGTGGAATAATACTAGCTCAAAAATCCCCACTAAGAATCTGATACTTCACTTACAGGCTAAACATATAGAAATCCGACACCATTTTCTTAGAGATCGTGTTAAAAAGGGGACGTTGTTTTTGAATACATTGATACGAGAAACCAGCTTGCTAGTATTTTTACAAAACCATTATCTTCTGAACCTTTTCACAAGCTTTGTAGTGAATTGCGAATCTTATATTCCTCATACTTTTAATATATTGGGATTTTTGTTTAGTTTCTTTTGTTATTTGTATCTTGTTTTCAATAACACTATCTTGTAGCAATTCATAATTTCATCAACCCCATTGGCATGTCTCTATAATTCTTATATAATTGCATCTATGTTTGTTCTACATATGTTTATTTGTTTGCTTATTATATTCTTTATTTCATTCATTCATTCATCTAAAGCATGCTTATGATTTTTCAACTTCGCATTTAAAGTCTTTTTAAATTTGGGTTGTTAATTATGTGCATTTGAGCATACATACTTGTTCATGCATAATTTACCTTTCATTCATGATAGTTTTGACCACTCATTTTTGTTTTGATTGAGATGTTTTAGCATGTCTATTTTCATGTCTGTTGCATATACATTGTCTATCTTCGTGTTCTATATCCGATCTCTGATGTTATATATTCTTCTTAGCTTTCTAGCTCATGGGTTAATATGAAATTATTTCCCTTTGTTACTGGTTTTTCGGTATTTTAGGCTCATTACCATCTATCTCTTTTTTATCTTGTCAAAGAGGAGAGGTTTTAATGTGAGCGTAAAAGTGTTTTATACGTTTTATGTTGTTGTGTGTGCAATGTTTCAGGGGGAGCACAATTGTTTATTTGATTTTGGCTTAAAGTCGACTCAATTTCAATTAAGCCTTTCCAAGCATAAAAAAAAGGGAGAATGGAATTGCATGTCTCTAATATTTAGGGGGAAAACCCTAATACAATTTTGTTGCTTGTCTTTTAGGCTTTCGATCCATATATTATTGTTTATTGAGTCTCTTTCATAATTGCACATCTCTAAATCAAGTTTAAAATTGATTCGTTTTAGCATTACATAATTGGATTGTTTGTATTTGAGTATGATCACTATAATTTTAGTCAACTGTTTGAGTTAATGGAACAAGAACCATTTTTGAAGTTGGTTCAAGTTATGTGGAAAGTATAATCTCAAACTATTTTGATATACTTGAAAAATTGAGATTTAGTGTGTATGACTTGAGTCACTCACATTTCGTGACTTGAATTAAACCAAACAGAGGAGAACATGATTATTTTGATGTTTGTTACTTGAATCATAAGTTGTACATAACTCAATTCACAAATCTCTTGTTATTCATTTCCTTATTTGATTTGAATCACACATCCTACATGACTCGAATTAAAAGTTGTTTCACTTTTTCCCGTTTGATTATGATCAATCTGATTCAAATCAAAGTTTATATATGACTCGAATCACGAACCTTCATGACTCAAAATACAACTTTAATTGACTCGAATCACGAACCTTCATAACTCAAAATACAACTTTAATTCGAATCACATGAAAATGGGTCACTTTTCCTTATGTTGATCTTGTTATTGCTCATTTGACTCAAATTAACAAATACTTTTGACTCGAATCTAGCAACCATTTTCATCTATTTTTGTGCATAACCTCCAACACATATAAATTCTTTTTGTCACATTATTTTTCAAATAGCAGTTTTATAATCATTTTGATTTTGTGAAATAAACAACCTCAAAGCTTTAAAAATTCAAAATCTCTTGCAAACAAAATTTCTTTCATCTTCAACCCCTATTTTTTATTTCTGATATTGATCATGAGAGATTTGTAACTGTTGAGGGAGCGTGTCTTAAAACTAACAGTTTTTGAAGGTTTAATAAGGATTTTTAGGAAGCTTACAAGATATTGGTTGTTGTGACTAGTTGTGACAAATTTTAGTGAAAAGAAGGAGGTTCTTCTCTCCATGTTGACTTTGGTAGTGTTGTGTGAAAGCCTACAGACATGGTATGAATTCTTCTTAATCTTCGGACAGTTCATCTCTCAAGAAATCAGTGGGATCATGGGTGATTGGCACACACGAAAATTATGAGTAAATTGGTGAAGCTGAAAGAATCAAGAAGCGAGAATCGAGTAAATATTTTACAGAGTTTAGCGTCAAGTTGTATACAAGTGAAGACCCTGATAAAAGATTTTCTCAGCATTATTGCGGATTTGTGATTGTATGAATTCGTGTAATATTTGTCAAAACATATTGGAAAAAAACAACTTCTAATGGGAAACAATTGAAGAATGGAGTAGGCTACTGCAAGGACGATACTACCGAACCACTGTACATCCCGATGTACTCTCTCTCTCATATTTAATTTTTGTAGGCTATTACATGTGTATGTTTTTGTTTCTTAGCATAGTTTATAGTTAATTCCTGTTGCTAGCGATTTATTACATAAGTGTGAGTTTTGTTGGAATCGAAACCTAATTGAGTTTTATTGGTGATTAAAATCCACGAACTAGTGGTGTTAGAATCCTCCAATAATTGAATTTTTGTAAATGACACATCTCGTGTAATTTACAATTTGATATAACTAGCAAATGTTTGAGAATTGTCGTTGAACAATATATGATATTTGTGAATTGTGTATCTGTAATCGTGATTGATTTCTAATATAAGTATAAGCTCTCTATTTTTGTTTTTAGACTTTTGCACATTTGAAAGATTCTAATATTAATTTTCAAAAAATCAAACAATTTTTAAAAGTATCTATTCACCCCTCTAAACTGTTTCTATACTTCATATTCATATCCAACAACAGTTTTCATAAGTCTATTTTCAATCAAATATACTCTCTTCTTTATAGTAATGAGTCATTAACCTTCGATGAGAATACCGCAAAACAACGATATAAGAGACTTAAATGCACCTTCATCTGCTGGTTTGATCGGCATTATTGAAGCAGCGAAATTAAAGGACTCCATGCAAATCTTTTCTATTGTAAAATTGAAGGATATTTTATAAAATTATTTATTATTTGTATTTTTCATACATTACTAAATAAATTTCTTAAACTAAATTGTGATGAAGCTGCGAGGAGGTATTACTATCATTTATGTACTATCATAATATTATAGAAAAAACAAAATAAAGGGCAAAATCATAATTTAGCATGGTTCATGTTCTGGTGTGCGTTTTAAAGACGAGAATAGCGGGAGTGTAGAATAAAAGGGTGCCCACATACCTCAACAGTGTTAAGAACCCGAGTGAGAAACGAGAGAATGTGAAAAAATGGTGAAGTCTTCGCATTGAGATTTGAGAAAGAAACAAATCAAAGAGAAAGAGAGAATGACGAGAGTAAAGGATGAAAAGCTTAAGAAACAATTTCAAAAACAGATGGGGTGCATGGCAGGTTTCCTACACATCTTCGATCGCCATCACTCATTTCCCCTTAAAAGACTCAATTCCACAAAACCAACGGTATAGATTCAAACTCAAAATCACTCTGTTTCATTCTCCATGTTTAATGATAACGTAATGTTTCATATTTTTTCAGGAACCGGAAACAAACGGTAGTAACTCACCGGCTGAATCAATACCAGAAGCAGAAACAACTCAACTGGAAAAACCGGCGCTTCAGATTCTTCCAGTTTTCGATTTCAAAGAAGGAACAAAATCTTCATGGAAATTAGCCAGAGAAGCACCGAGACTATCATTAGATAGCAGAGCCGTGATGGATGCAAAAGGAACAATTCATCCCAAAGATGAAGAAAAACGACGACGTTCCACTAGCGTTGTTGCAAAGCTCATGGGTCTCGAAGACTCTGATCCTAACCACAACCCTAACCCTAGCCATAACCCTAACCCGAAGCTACAGAGATCAGCTTCGGAATCAATGGTTCACAGAGATCTATCTCATTCTCAACACTATCGTTTCTTTGACACTACGAATTTCCAGTTAAAGCAATTCGACAGTGTTTCGTTGTTAAACGACAGAGACTCAGATCTAACTGAGAAAACAGAGCCAGTCAGAGGAATACTAACGAAACAAAAGAAGTGTTTCTATGATTCCACTGACTTTTTCCCTGGTCCGAAACAGAGTATTTCTGTTTCGGTTCAAGGCGAGATTGAGAAACGGTTGAAGATGCGTGGGATTCACGAACCTTCTAAAGATCTCGAAACACTGAAACAAATCCTTGAAGCATTGCAGCTGAAAGGGCTTTTACATTCTAAGAAATTAACCAATCATAGAAACTTCGTCATGGAGAATGTGAGCGATTCTCCTATAGTTCTTATGAAGCCAGGAAAATCAATTCATCGAACTGGTTGGACCGGGAATGAATCTCTACCGCCAGCCTCGACTTTCCGGTCCAAACCAAAGGCTCAAACTGATCATATGCAAGCTCAGGTTAAAAACAGAAACTCCTCAAACTCCCCCACGCGTAGTCCTAACCGCTTGAGGAAGGTTTCTAGCGTTGAGACACAGCGAGGTGTTGATCGCCGAAGAGTTTCTCCGGTTCAATCCCAGAAGATTGAACCGAACCGGCAATCACCGGTTCGGTCGCCGAGGATGAGAAAAGTTACAACTTACCAAAAAGAAGAGAAAACCATGGCAGAAGATGAATCATCTACTGTTTCTGAAAGTAGTTTCAGTACCTCTTCACATACCGACACAGAGGTTTGTTAAATTAAATATCTAAAATTTTTAATTAATTTTATTAAGTTTATTAGATATGAGTTAATTAATTAATGAGATGAATTTAATTATGGTGCAGAGGTTAACTAAGGTGGAGGACCAATACAGAGAAGGGAAAGAGTTACTGCAGAGGTGTGATAAATTACTCAACAGTATAGCTGAAATAACTGAGTTACAACAACCGAGTCCCGTATCAGTTCTTGACTCGTCGTTTTACAAAGACGACTCGTCGTGTTCTCCATCTCCAGTAATGAAACGATGCATTGAATATAAAGGTCAGAAGTAGTTTTGTTCGTACATACTATATACATAAGTCGTAATCATTGCTTCCTTGGCGTTAGGGTAATTGCTTTTTTTTTACTAGTGAAAGAGTTAATATTAGGTGTGACATCATCCATAGGGTACGCGTGTTTAGGGTCTTTTAAGAACCAAACTGTTCTTTCCATTTCTTCACAAGAATAACAACTTTTTTTGTTGCTTGGGTAAATGGTCTATAGTCATTTCTTTGAAATTTTATTACTTTCACACTAGTAGTAGTAGTGGAGTGGTAGTGGTTATGAAATTTGCATATTACGTGGACCAATCATTTGATACTAGGGAAACGGAGTTGGTTGGATTGGTTCATTGACTACTAAGTCAGAAGAATACTTGTAGAATCACGTGGGAGAGTGATGGCATTCTGCTTTTCAAGATCGATAGTGGTGTCCCCGTGAAAATATAGGAGTAAATAAATGAGCAGTGTCGTTATCTGCATTTATTTGTTTTAAACTTTTAATTATTAGTACTAATTTTGTTTCTTAATCTCTTTTGATGTTAATGAATTTCGGTTAAATTGCAGATCTAGGAGCGGAGTCAGAAGAAGATGCTTGGAGTACAAATTTGTGTTCAAACGAAACCAAGTCAGAGGATTGTGATTTCGTATATGTTTCAGAAGTACTTCGTGCTTCTAACTACTTGCCCAAAGACAAAGACAATGACATGTTTCTGTTATTGGAACAGCAACAGTACCTCAAGGGAAACAACACTTCCAAAGTTTCCACTCTTCAAAGACGGTTAATCTTTGACACCATCCATGAGATTCTCAACGGGAAACGCCGTTTGCCACCGTGGAAGTTGGAGAATCTACAGTCGTTAGATAAAATCTGGTCGGAGTTTCGGAGGATCCGGGAGAGGGAAGAGTCTGAGGATATGTTTGAGGTTATATGTGCAGTGTTGAAGAAGGACATGAATGGAGAGAATGAATGGGGTGAATGCCACGTGGAATTTGGAGATGTAGTGTTGGATATCGAACGGTTCATATTCAAAGATCTTATATGCGAAACCATTGGGGATCTAGCATTATGTAGAGGAATACCACGTAACAAAGTTTCGGTGCTTCGCAGGAAGTTAGAGTTTTATAATTAGGATAAAACAAAAAGAAGGGAAAGAGTTGAAAAAGAAACGCAAAAGTTATAAATATTAATAAATAATACATGAAAATAGGGAGGTTTTTTTTTCTTAGTTTGGTTGTTTTGCTTTTCCCTCCTCTTTAGTAATCCCATAGTTTAATTATTTTCTAATTATTATGTGTATGCTTTTTTTAATGAAGGAATCAGGAACTTTAAACCTGAAATCCAGACATGCTTAACGATGATAAGAATTAAAAGAAAAAATGGTGATTAAATTTTATGGAGTTAGAACTTTACCTCAAACTTTATGTCTAAGAAAGTATTCTCTCTATCATATATTATAAGAAAATTTTATTTATTTTTAATTTATTAAAAAATTGATGTATTTAATTAAAATATAAATCAGATATATTAATTATTTAATAAATTTAAAAAACAAAGTTTAGTTATAATATGGAGGAAGGAAGTACATGGAATAAAAGGTGTTTGTTTAATCATTTTTGTTACCAACTATTAAATTCCAGTAATCAAAATAAAAGGTGTGGCATAAAAGGTAGAAATTATTGGAGAGTTGTTATAGGGATCACTATTGTTGATTATGGTTTAGGTTTTTTTTTTTTTTTTTTTTTTTTTGTCTCTAATGACAAAGGGGGAGGAGGTCCCACCCCCACAACAATGGAGAAGCCGTGCAAGTTAATTGGCACAATTAGGTTACAGCACTTTTGGACTTCTAGCATAGGAGCTCCCTCTTTAAGAAACAGAATATTGAATGGTTGTGTGCCTTGTGAAATGGTAAAAATACAAATTTTTAGCTTGTATGGAGTATATATGGCCACGGGACTAGGAGGGTCTAATTTAATTATAGTTGTTATAAATATGTCATAAAACTTATGTTGATAAAGATGAAAAAAACATATTTTAAAGATTGTATTTACCGCGAAAATCAGACAAAAAGCCAAGAAAAGGAAAAAAAAAACGGTCGATAAATAGTATCGTCCGTACGGTGAATAGTGATATCCGTACAGGTGAATAGTGACGCCCCGTACGGTGAATAGTATTTTTGAATTTTCGCGCTTTTTTCAATTCGGTCCATGGATCCATGTGATTTTGGCCTTTGTTTGGTTTCAGCTATGCAGAAAGAAAACCTTGGATTACACTTTGAGTTTGAGTGATTCATATATTGAGAATTGGAGATGTAGGGAAACACTTGGGTAAAAAATAAGATTGTTCTTGCGCGCCTTCAGGGTTGTTCTTGGGAACCTGAAGGCGAAAACTATTTTCTTCTAACTCATCTGTAATCTCTTGTAACAACTTTCTGAGTATAGTGAATTGGAGAGTTACTCTCTCACCCAGAGTAGATCATTTGATCGAACTGGATAAACAAACCTTCGGTTTTTTCTTGCCTTATTCTGTTATATTATCTGTGTACTGTTTCCTTTGAAAATCGAAAAACAATCGCTGATCTTCCAAATCTAACTTTGGTGACTCACAGGATCGATCAGATTGATCCTAGGACATGTGCTAAAAGATTTATTTTTGGTTTTAAGAATTTATCCAAGTTTCACACTCGAATAGGGTTGGGATAAACAGAATCCTAAAAGAACATCTATTCGACTACGGGTTAATTTGAAGGTAAAATAAGGCTTCTAATAAAAGAGAAGAAAATTTGTTGGTAAAGGTGAATTTAGTTTGAAGACGAAGAGAAAAGAATTGCGTAGGGAGAAGAGGAATAACGTAAAGAGTAAAAAGAGTAAAGATAATAAAGGCAATAAAAGACTTTGTAAAACTTAAAGTAAAAACAAGTAAATTGCATTAAGTTTAAAAGATGGTGTGTTTACATCACGTACATTCTCTTTCAGTACTCGTTTTCTCTACACTCGGATACTTGGAGTAGTTTCAAGAGTAACTTGTACAATAGTAAATTACAACACACTTTGGATATGTCTAAGACACTCTATTTATAGTAACAAAAAATAACCTCTAATAACTTCCACCATAATCTCTTTCCGCCACTTGTCTCAAATGCATGGATCCATTATCCATAAGGTGACACGTGTCTCCCTCCATTTTCCACAAGCTAAACCGTTCCCTCCAACATTCAAATTTCAAATACTTCGACGCACCATTCGTTATCAGCAGGCGGTCGAACCCTTGGCCTCTGGGTGAGTCCTTCGACTTAGCTTCTTCCTTCTTTCGACCATTTTCTTGCATTCAAGGTACTCTTCACCCTTTTCTTTGGACACCTTCTTTCTAGCTGAGGCGTCGAATTTAGGAGCTAACAAATTGCCCCCCAAAAATGTCTTTTTAACTTCAATCGTGGAAAAACACATTTTTTGACAACATCTGACCTTCGACGCCGCTTTGCCCTCGTGAGTGTCGTCTGATATTCTTTCCACCAATGTGAGCGTGAGAAGTTGAAAGAGAATGAAAGAGAAAAAGAAAAATAGCTATGAACACGCAAGCTACTGTTCCGCCGCCTTGATGCACGTTTTATGACGTCATTATCATCATGGCTATTTTCTCGGGACTCAACAAAATCGTGGGCCATCATCACCCTACCATCCTCGGGGACGTGATTTGCAACTACTACCTCTGCCATTCCACATCCAGGCGTACACGTGGCCCACTACCTCTAGCCCCTCAATGATGGAAACTTTCAGTCTTCCACTCACTACATAAGTGATTTCCCTTTGTTATTTTCATTTTTTACAACTTCTCTAACTCCCTATAACTTTCCTTGCTTTTTTCTAATTCTCTGCTCTCAACCAACCAACTCTTATTTCTTTCAACAATGGCCGATCATCAGAAAAAGAAAGCGCAACCTAAGGGACAAACTTCTGCACCCATACTTCCTCCCTTTGCTAGTTTGAGCGGCCCTCAGGCGGTAAAAAATCAACAGTTCATCCGCGAGCCCCTGACGGAGGAAAAACGACACATCTACGGATCTCAGGTAATCATCCCTGTTAATGTTGCATGGAGACCTTTAGCCATGTCTGGGCCTTTACCCCCTCCTGGTCTCGACTACTCCGTCATCAAAAATTTCTTCCCTTCTTACAGAACCACTAAACCCCTAGGGCAAAGAAACTTCAACAAAGCTTCCACTGATGGTCCTGATAATCTGAGCCTTTTCGACGTGGACTTTAGGTATCTTCATGATGGGGCCAGATTGTTTAGGGCCACCCCCTATTTCAAAGATTCTGAACTTTATCTCAACTGGCTGACGAAAATAGAGAAGGTAAAAGCCCAGGAATGGAAGGAAACTGGGATTTACTATCTGATTATGATGTCGAAGGTAGGCCCTTCGTACTGCCCTCTCATGTTGGCCTCCTCCTTATTCTTCTGGGATATGACACACAACACTTTTCACCTTCCTTGTGGGATGATGACACCCACTTTACTCGACGTAGCTGCCATTGTAGGCCTAAAACCATATGGCTTCATTTATGATCCCGAGATCAATAGTCATGACAGTGTTGGTTTTGCCAATACTAAACACACCTATACAACTTTTGTCCAACACTACCACAACAAAACTAGTACCTCTGTTGAGGATGAAGAACACATAGCCTTCTTGGCCATGTGGTTATCCCGCTGTGTATTTTGCACCAAATCTTTGCAGGTGGCGAGAAAGTATCTGGTTCTGGCCAACCAACTGCACCTGAAGAGAGGCATTTGTCTCAGTGAATTGATCCTGGCTAGTCTCTACGAAGCTTTAAGCGAAGGTGCAGGTAAACTGAAAGATCCTGACAGTCATGGCAACTTGCTGTTGTCGGGCCCCTTCTGGCTTCTTCAGCTATGGCTTAATGCCATGTTCGAGCACAGTCTCCCCAACAAAGGTGAAGTTGATGAACATTCACCTGCAGTTGCTGAGAGAGGAGTCGAGTGGCCTCGCCTGGCTCAACTTACTCCTAGTGAGGAAGGTCATTCCCTTCGATCCAACTTGTCCAGCTTTGTTCATATATTTACGAAACGGCATGAGTTTACCGTGAACATGGCTCCCTTCGCAGAACGAAAATGTGGGCCATAATGGTTTACTAGACCCTTCCCCGCTCCCTTAAAGAAACATGAGGAGCAGTCGAAGCTGATCTGGGAGAGGTTCCTCATTCCCCGCCTACTGATCCACAAACTAAACCTCGTAAAAGGTCACTCCAGCCTGTTAGCCTATCAGCCTAACTTAGTTTCTAGATAATTTGGGTTGATTCAAACCTTGCCTAGATGTTTGTACGATAAGAAGTCACACATCATCCTTCCTTTTACTGTGCTGTTTCCTCTGGATAGTTTGATGCAACTGGCACACCATGCTCACAAGTCCTACCTCACACCTGTTCACTTTAAACCCTCTTATTTTTGCTCTCAAAATTTCTATGACTAGTGGTCGAAGCATTATGCTTCAGAATTTCTCGATGCTCCAGGTTTTACTCGCTAGATTGACCAAGCTTTTATTGATGTGCAGGAGAAGGTCAAGAAAGGTACGTCCACTCATATCAAAGAGATCCAAGCCTTCCAGAAATATTTCGAAACTGCCTATCGACCAGATGATGTTAGTCGAACCATCCACGAGGCTGCTGTTACCTTAAAAGAAATTTTTTTGAAAAAACTGGATAGTTTTAAGATTCCCTCTTCTGTTCCTCGTGAGAAACAGTATGAGGTTGCCTTTAAACTTTTTCCCTCAAAAATCCCTCGACTACCAATCGCTGGTTTTGGCGTGGCTCTTGCCCCTCCATTTCCAGATTGGTTTATTTGTGGGGATGCTATAAAAATTCTTCGACAGCAGTCCAAGCCCAAGGCACAGCGGGTGGTTCCGACTAAACATACACTCGATACGTTTAAAGGGCACCTTCATGTCAGTATCGAAGATGTTCGCATCGAATCTGACATTCTTGAAGGTTCATCCCCCTTTGATTTGGACTTCCCTCTCTGAGCTTTATTGTTGCTAACAGTTTTAAGTATCGTCTATTTTCAGCTGCTCCAAAACGTGCCGCCCCAACAACCAGGGCTGAAGTCAAGGACGAAGGT